TGGGCTCCCTGCTCCGCGGGAAGCCTGCTTCTCCCTCTCCCTCTGCCTTCTGCTCTGCCTATCTGTGCTCTCTCTCTTTCAAATAAATAAATAAAATCCAAAAAAAAAAAAAAATATGGCAATGAAATAAAAACTGGAACTTGGAAAAAACAAAACAAAACACTGATTTTTAAACTGATCTTCCACACAAGTAACTAAGACTATAAACAGAAAACCTTTAGGATTTATTATTAGATGTGGTAAATATTTTGTCCTAGATTCAAAGAATGTTTTGTACATTTCAGAAAAGAAGTATTGATCTGTTGCTTAGTGCATTCATTGATTAATTATGGGTGACCATGCTGCCCCTCACCCTGGTACCATTGCTCTTTTCTGGGCCAAGGGAGGCGTGAAGCAGAGGGAAGGCACACATCATTGGCCCATGCTAGGCAGCCGTGATCAGACTTACACGTACCCTTCCGACTGCTGTGCTCGCCTTGGAGGTAGAGTGGGGGTGCTAGGTGGGAACAGAGTCTCCTTGGTGAGGTGGAGTTCCTGTAAAGAATTCCGCCCCCAGTAAAGAATCACGGATTTATTCCAACTCAGGAGTAGTTGGATGGGAACTGTCATGAGGTACTTTGACTGGTATCAGATGTGATGCATCTTTAGAAGGCTCCTCAGTTGGGATCTCTTTAATTCCTAGTGGAAAAGACTTTGTGTTTTGGAATGGCCAGGGCTCTCCTGCCTAGAGAGTATGGGTAACAGGCTTTAAAAAGCAACACATTTTATTCCTTGCTTTTCAGAATATGCGTTACTTCATCGCTTCCCTCCAGGAAATGAAGGCCTGTCTTGTTACTATAGCTTACATTAGGAGTTATTGTTTTAAATTGCACAATAAAAGTTTTGGGGAGAAAGATTTCAGTGCCTTTGTAAATTGGATGTGTTTTACCAGTGGGAGAGTTCTGTTGTGACTTAAGACTGAAAGGTAGATGTTAGCATATTTTTGGACATACTAAAAAATGGACACAATTTCCTAAGATTTTCAGGCTGTTAGCCATTACTTTTGTGTAGGAATTTAATCTCCACAAATCCTCCTAGTCAGATTTTTAGATACGAATAAGTATATATGGAAATGCTTATATATCTGTTCTTTAGTTTTTGTAAGTTAATGATTTGAATTTCTTTGTTTTTTTTCTCTTCAAGGTTCAAAAACCAGAAAGAGAGTCCAGAAGTAAATCAAATGCTGTCAACCGACTTTTCTTTTCTTCCTGTCATTTGACTTTTTCCTCTTTTTCTATTTTAAATGTTACATTTTCATGTGAGTCTTTGAGGATGGGGCTGACCATGAAATACTATGTCTTTAAAAAATATAAACTTTTTTATTAAGTAAATACTTTGCACAATTTATTAAAGGCTAATTATAAAATTGAAAATCTATAGGTCATACTCTTTCAGCTGATCCCAAGCTGTATGTGTTTGAGGTTCTGAAGCAGCTGTAAGAAAAACCACCATGATGTGTACTTTCTAATCATTGTCCATTGCCCCGAGTGTATAGAAATGCTTGGCAAAATCTTCCCCTTTAAGCAGATATACAAACCTTAAAATAAAGGTCTCTTTTTGCATGATACAAATACACCATTTGTTGTGGCCATAAGATTTGGATTGCATTGGTTCTTTTCAGTTCCACAAGCATTTATTGAGCACCTGCTGTATGAAGCAAGAGGAACAAAAAAGGGAAAGGGTTATGAAAGCAAAAGTGGGGTACTAAGCAGGTCTGTGGGAGACCAAACCCACATATTTGAAAGTGAGATTGCAGAATGACTACCTACGCATGCAAACTGTATGAAAAGAAAATACGATAAAGTATCCAGTGGTAGCATGATTACAGATTTATAGACTGGCTTCTTTTAAGGAGATCCTGTGGAAAAAAAAAAAACAAAGCAGACTTATTGCTCATTCACAGGAGATTATTTTTCTTGTAAGTGTCGTTTTTGTAGCATATGATGTCTGTGCAGTAAACCAAAGCACTCGAGAGTTTTAGTGATCAGAGATTTTCAGATTTGAACTTTTTATAGTTTCCCTGGTAATAAAAGCTTGGGATTTAAACTATATGAACAATTTCAAGGTTTACTTTGTTGCAGAAATTGGAATTGGGTTGGATTTCCCAAATCGCTTAATGGCACATTCCATCTTACCGCTTAATGGTACATTCCATCTTTGTAGATGACATAGAGACACACTTTTATTTCAGCATTTAAGCATTAAGCATGTATTTTTTTTTTTATTTGAGAGAGAGAGAATGAGAGACAGCACGAGAGGGAAGAGGGCAGAGGGAGAAGCAGACCCCCTGCTGAGCAGCGAGCCCGATATGGGACTCGATCCCGGGACTCCAGGATCATGACCTGAGCCGAAGGCAGTCGCTTCACCAACTGAGCCACCCAGGCGCCCCAAGCATGTATTTTAATATGTGTTCAGAACATAAGTAGCACATGAAACTGGTGATTTCTCTGTTGCTTAGGACAAGCTTCGAGGAGGTATTTCTGTATTTAAAAAAGTGAGTTGATTTAAAGAAAATGTTAAGTAATAGTACAGGTGGAATGTCAACATACCCCAAATTGTCAAGGTGGAACCACGTTGGAGGAGCTCTGAGCCAACACTGAGACTCTAAAACTTTGGCCCCAAATGTGGGTGTTTAGGTGTCACATGGAATATGTGTCACTGTAGTGGTCAGATGTTGAAAAGTGCAGACCAGATCTGCAGACTTTCCTTTGAAAGTTCATCTTTTAAATGCCTCCTGAAGTTCTTGAGCTGTGTGTCTTTGCAGAAGAGAGAACTAGATTTTGGGCAGAACCTCCTCCTGTTTTCTGTAGAATGTTGGATTTTCGTGCTCATCAGTGTTATGGTCCCAAGTTTATTTGTAACACCTAAATCAACTCTAAAGTTCTGTTTCAAACACATTGATGCTTAAAATAGGATAAAATGTGTGTGGTGTGTTTTTGTGTATATGCCTTAGCCTTTTTTATTTTCCAAAACACAAAAACATAGCAAAACCTGTTGGTTAAATATTAAGAAAACAGATATTTCCTCACATACTGTTTTTAACAAGTGCTGGCATTTTCTCGAATGTTACTCTGTTGGCAGGGCTGCAGAAATTAAAAACTAGTAGCCATAGTAGCCAGTTGGATTCATTGGCTGCATCTCCTTACTCCGCTGCTCTTCTCCTTCCTACCTTACACTGGGTTTTTTTTAGGCTCCCTTTATTTTATTTATTTTTTTATTTTTTAAAGATTTTATTTATTTATTTGAGAGAGAGATAGCGAGAGCAGGAACACAAGCAGGGGGAGTGGGAGAGCGAGAAGCAGGCTTCCTGCCGAGCAGAGAGCCCGATGCGAGACTCGATCCCAGGACCCTGGGATCATGACCTGAGCCGAAGGCAG